TTTGTTTCAGAACAAATATGTGATCACTTGTTCTGAACTTGGGGATGAATCCAATCTGTTCCTTAACAATTAAGTTATTTACATCAATATATTTAATAAGTCTTTGTTTTAAAACTGCTGTGAACAGTTTGGTCAAGGTGTTTAACAGTGTAATGCCCCTATGGTTACTAGGGTCAGATTTATCACCCTTTTTAAAGACTGGGGTTATTATTCCTGTATTCCAGTTAGTGGGGAAAAATCCACTTGTAAGAATCATATTAAAAAGTTTTTGAACTGGTATAATAAGAGTGTGCCTGCCAGCTTTAATCATCTCGTTTGAGATGTTATCTTTTCCTGGGGATTTCCCATTTTTAAGGTTATTAATAGCTTTTTGGATTTCAAGTTGTGAGATTGGTTCATTTAGTTCTTTTGAATCTGTTGATAATTTATTTAAGATATTAGACTCATGATTGTATTGTATGTATTGTTTTAATGAGATTTACAGATTGAAAGACAAATAAGGATCTTTAAATCTCAACGGAAATCAGTGTATGCTTTATGTAAGAACATAACACATACATAACACATACATGGTGTATACATTACTACGAGCTTTATATATATACATGTAGGTTCAATGTAGGATTGATATAGACATGGATGCTCTATCAGATATAGTTATTTTTAACACTCAGCATGGATTTATAAGATCAAAGTTCCCTTCATATGCTCCTCCAGCAAACACAAGTACATGTGTATTTCACACTTTTCTTTCACTTGGCCACATGCGCGTGCCTCGGTTCCCTATAACGTAAAATTGTTTTTGAGTATGTTCCACTAATCACAAAACTGTGAATTGTTAACAGCGTATAGCCAAGACTGTTTGAGTAATAAAAAAACAAATAAAAAAATTAGTGTCTACGAACCTGCATCTATATCTTAAACTGTATTTGGTTGTCAATTTGCAGTAGACGAGTCATATCATTGGCGTTTTTTCTTTCTCACTGGGCAATTCATTCAGTCACGGTACTTATCTTATCTTAACTCAAGTTCAATTGTCAACGAGCATCAAAATCTCATGATCCAGAATCACTTTTTTTTCAACGAAAACTCAAAATAAAGGTATAAAAACGTATAGTAATTACACGTATTTTAGTGTCTATAAGTTCACACTAAAAACAGTGTTACCACACTTGTAGAGTGTCTTACAATCTAGCTTAGACGAACTATTGGCATGCACGCAATAATGGAGGCTGACTGTAAACCCTGAAATAAAATTATGTTTTTTTAATAAACAAATAGACTATTAAATATACATTCTTGAGAGAAAAGAAATTAGCGTGACAACGGTTTTTTAGGAATAGTAATTAGCCCGAATGGCATATTCAAAGCGTATTGTGTGTCACACGCAACGTAATATTACCGTAATTGGTATAGTACAGGTGTGATGGTTCAAATACCAAAATGGCAACAGTAACAGAAGACTTCCCTGGCGGCGATGATACATACGACACGGAGCCAACAGATGAGTTTCACTGGTACTG